GTGCGGGGCGAGTGGGGGGGGGATACATGGCGGACGGGTGGGTTTGAGGGCGGGGCGCACATCAGGTGCTGCTCCCGCGGGACCTTTGGGGTTGCGAGGAGAGGGGCGGTGGTGGGTGGGTCGGGGGCTGGGGATGCATGGCAGGCAGGAGGGTCTGAGGGCGCGGCACATGGCAGGTTGCGCTCGCGCTCGCGCTCGCACTCTGGGCATGGGGTTCCATGGCGCAGGCCCGAGCCCCTCGCCCCCCGTCAGGTCGCCCCAAAAAGGCCCTCACCGCGTAGAATATGTTTGGGAGGTCATCCAGCATCTTGCGCTGCGCCTTGTCCTTGCCAAACAGCGGCATGTTCTTCTTGATGTGGCCTGGCGCATGGTTTGAAAAAGGGGTCCATCAAATTTCGATCAGGCAGGGTTCGTAATTAAGTCATGATGCAGATGATGGGGAGGTGGAATTCAGGAGGTCCAGGCAGGGGGCCGGACCACAGGCGGACGTGCCAAAAATCGGGCTGGGCTCCTGACGCAGCGATCTTCCTTTTCCATCCCGACAGAAACGGCGGCGGGGGCTGCTCTGACTTGCAACCCCAACCCCCCCCCCTGAACCTTGCAGCACCGTCCGCCCACTCCTCCCTGACACACACGCACGCACGCACGCGCGCGCGCGCACACACACGCACGCACACACGCACGCACGCATGCACACACGCGCACTCCACACGCGCGCGGCTGCCCCACCGCCCCTTCAAACCCCCGTCATGACTAACCTATGAGCAGCATGTGAATCTTGAGGGCCCTCACGCGCTTCACAAACTCGTTGACTGATGATGAGTCAGGGAGTCAGCGAGTCGGCGAGTCAGCGAGTGACAATTTGGGGATTTTGGTGCCCGATTGGAAGCAGCGAAACGCGTATGCGCTTGGCAGGCGCTGGTGCGGCCAGAGAGTCCCCTGGATAACACTGCATTTCTTCCAGTGGGGACGGCTGCTGTCAGGGTGACAGGGTTCTGGGCAGGGGCACAGAGGGGCAACGGCAAACGCAGGCGCTCACCCTTGCGGTCGCAGGAGCGCGCGGGGATCTAGTGTGTGTGAGGGGGGCCGGGGGTGGGGCGCCGCAGCGGGGTCACAGGGGTTGAAACAGCCGTTGTGAGCGGGGCAGGCTTTCTCAGGAAAGTCTGTCCAAACGCGTTGGTCCCAATCAACGCACTGAGCCCCGCCGCTGAAATTGAAACTTGAGCAATAGAACGGCTGGCCGCGACCCCAGGTCTGATGTCTGTCAAATCGCCTCAGATCGGATCAGATCAGATCATGGTCCTAACCTCGTACAGGTCGTCCAGCAGCGCGGCGTGCTCCTTCTCGAAGAGCCCCACACACTCTGGGTTCTTGGCCTTGTTGATGGGGGCGTCCGCGTTGAAGGAGCCGATGTACACCTGTTTTGGGGGGCGATATTGGGTTTACGGGGGGTTTGGGGGTTTTGGGAGTTTCCGGGGTTTGGGTTTTTTAGAGTTGCTGAGGAGTTTTCGGGGGTGGAACGAGGGGCCAGGTAGTGAAGAGACAGGCGGAGGCTCGATTGCAAGGGGCCGGCGCTGCCTGGCCACCGGCACCCGCGCTCATCCTGCAAACTCAAGGCTGCTCTACATGTGTCCTGACATCCAGCTCTGACGGGTGGCACCTCCAAAAGGCGTTCTCGGACTCCCAATCAGCCCGCCGACACACGGCGGGCGGAAACCGTCAGGGTCGTACCCAGACCCAGCAGCCGTGCCGTCGCCCTCCTCAATCACACAGGCCCCTCGACAGCCAACCGAATTCCGGCACCCGCGCGGGCAGCACGGCATACCGACCAGCAGGTCGCACGCTCCTGAATACAGCGGCGCCGCCGCCGGCGCGCGGCGGCGCTTCCGCCTTCAAACCCCTCTCCTCCGGGGCCGCAGCAGAGGCGGGAGCCGACTCACTCTGCAGACCTCTGGCGTTTTAAACACCTTGCCCAGGCTCCACATCAGCGCGCCATACACGCGCATCAGCTGCTGCTGGTCCACCTGGCGCGATGCGAAAGGCAGCAAGGGGCCGGGGGAATCACCGGCGTTGTTTGTGTCAGGAACCAACGGGGGGCGCGCCCGTCGGGGACGAGGCAGGGGCACGCTCACCCACCAATCCGTGAACGCAGGAGTTGCGGGTCTGCACACCAAACAAACAAAACTTAACATCTAAGACTTCGCGCGGATTCTTTCAACTGCATTTGTCCATGCCTTCAATCGCACACGGATGCCTGGAAAGAGTCTCGTTGCCGCCTGACCTCGTTGCAATCGACTTCCTCCCACCTGGTCGGCCTTGTTGAGTACGACGCGAATCTTGTCGTCGTGGCCCCTCAGGGCGTGGATCACCTGCCGCATCTCGTCGCTGATGTCCTGATGACGTCATCAAGCGGCCAGGGGAGGGGGGAGGTGCGAGGGAAGGGGGAGCGGCAGAGGTGGGCCTGATCGGTCTGCGCAAGAAGCTGCAACACAAGTTTGGAAACGTGACAAGCAAACTGAGCACTTTGCAGGGCTGTGTTTGGGGTTCAACAGTAGGGTGCCATACCACCCTCCCTGCAAACCCCAGTGGGGATGCGCGGAAGACGCTAGCGCTGCCTGAGAGGCTGAGGAGGGGTCGAGATGAGGCATGCTTTGACCCCTCCCCAGGCCCGACCAGGGCGCGTTGCTGCCAGCTGATTGGACACGCGCCCCTCCTCCCAACCCTTCTCATCCTCAGGCGGCGCCGGAAAGCCAAAGCATCAGACCAAGGCCAAGCTCGCAGAGGTCAAGCTTGAGTATGAAGGCAGATTGCAGCAGCAACACGATGCGAACAACCCCCCGACACGCAAGGAAAGATGCAAGAGGCGACGCAGGCCGGGCGGGGGCCGACCCTCCCTTCTTGAAAGCCAAGCGCGACCTGTTTGATATTACTAAAAACAGCCTGCTCACTAGCTTAAAGGGGTCGAACAGCAGCAAGATGAGGTCGCAGCGCGACGCGAACCACTCGCACACGTCGATGAACGAGTACTGGCGCTCTGATGATGTCATTGGTGGGGGTAGCGGGGGTCAGCGGCGGAAGATGGAAAGCAGTGAGGTGCAGGTTAGACAGCAACACTCACGGGCACACACGGGTCGTGCGGACAACCCAGACGCGCACTTGGGCGCACACACACGTATGCTCACACACACACACATACACACACACACGCACGCGATACTACACACAATCACACACACACACACACACACACACACACACGTACGCTCACATACACACACACACATGTGAACACAGCAGCACGTGCACGATCCCCAACCCCTACCAGCGAACCCACCAGGCAGGCGCACCCTCCCCGCCCCTCCTCGACCTCACCTATCCTCTGCTTCTCCCCCGACAGCACCCCGGGTGTGTCCACGATTGTGATCTCCTCCAGCAGGCGGCTGGGACACTGAGAGCCCTCGAACCGCGACAGGAACCCTGCATGTGTTTGTGTGTGTACATGTGTGTGTGTGTTTGTGTGTGTGTGTGTGTGTGTGTGTGTGTGTTGGTGTGTTGGTGGGGACTCGGGGAGCAATAGGGGAACAGACTGAGCACACCCTCAAAGAAGGCATGCACGGGTGCGCGAAGGCCTTGTGAACGGGCGGGGGTGCCAGCTTTTGGGGCGGGGCGCCCTCGATGCGAGGCTGTGTCACGCCATAGTGGCAATCAGGGGATGCGTGGTCCTCGGATCGACCCAAGGGGATGATGAGAGGTGTCGGCACGCTCGCATCTGCAAGGCACGCACGGCTTGACCATACACCCACCCGTGCCGAAGAGGGACAGGCCTTGGTAGGGCTTGTCTGGCTGCACAGCCAGCGTGTTGCCAGGGGTCCGCCGCTCCTCCAGCCCGTGGTGTACCACGACAAACCTGGGAGACAGGGTTCAAGATTAGCTGTTTAGGAGCTACCCGCGCGAGTGCTGTGATATAATACTGGATATGCAGTCATCTCTGAAGATGCAAGCAGTGATGAGGACGGCAAGGGTATTGCTATATGATTGTAGAGATCGGCCAGTTTGTGCCGTCGAGGCAGCAGCTGCTGTAGTGCTGGTGGCGCCGAGCGCAAGGCGCAGGCCGGAGGTTTGTAACTGCCAAGCAGCTATCCGCCTTGCCCCGCACGGCCCGCAGCCCGCGGCCCTGGCCGTCGTCGACTGGGGCGGGCG